GCACAATTTAATATGTGGGAGTTTGTTTATCTTCTTATAATTAGGAGTATCAAATAAAATAATATTATGTTAATAATACTTAAACATGTACAAAAATTATGCCAATTTTATATCTGTTCATGTTTATGTTTTATGAATATGACATATTTTTTCTATGATTTTGTTGAATGAAAACTGAAAAACAGATATACTAAACCTATAATTTATTATTTGTTTGATTTTCAACTAAGATAATTAAACAAAAAACAAGTGTAATAATTTGACGTTAATCAGTTATTATTTTGGATAACTATTTAATATCTATTAGAAAAGATTATTATTTACGTTGAAATATAGATATCACATTAAGTATCTCATACAAAATTATAGAACCTTATGTTATAACATCTAATTAAATATTGATTTTTAAGTTTGAAATCATTTCAATTAGTTATTAGTTAATTTTTGTTATCAATTTGTATCCATTTTATTATTTGCTTAAAGGATACAAAATTAGGAAACAGGTTCCTAATAGATATATATTGACTGTAGGGCCAACAGTTTTTTTTATTTAATTAATTATTTTATACATTTATTGACCGTCTTATATGTTTATGAATGAATTAGATATTTTATTTATTTGGAAATTAAAGAAAACAAAATAAAGTGTATTCACTCAATGAAAATAAACTTTTAGCACTGAACTGAACATTTTTTTCACTCTGAAAAATGTTACTTGAAGCACTGGAAATTTTTTATTTTGCAAGACAGAATACAATAATTGAAAATGCAGTACTGAACCATTAGAAATGTAAATCTCTTATTATGTGAAAGTTAGCAGACTTAGAATATGTCAAATACGATGAAGTGTCTGTTTGGAGCATTTGGACTAACATCGCCCCTAATAGCAATCTATTTTGAATAAGGAATATTCATATTTCAGTAATAATATTAGTAGGCATCATCAAGCAATCGGACAGAAAAAGATGAACATTGGTTAAATTATGTGAATAGCAAATGTACAACTAAGGAGCATTTGGACTAACATCGCCCCTAATAGCAATCTATTTTGAATAAGGAATATTCATAGTTCAGTAATAATATTAGTGGGCATCATCAAGCAATCGGACAGAAAAAGATAAACATTGGTTAAATTAAGTGAATAGCAAATGTACAACTAAAAGGTATCAAACTTAAACATATTGTTCCAGTTTAAATATAACCGGAAGAGAACTCTGAAACTAGCCCGGAAGCATATATCAACCAAAAAAAGAGTTAAGTTTATCATCCAACTGTGGTAGGATAAACATTGATTTATGTATACTGGCCTCAACAGTTAAGTATGCAACTGATCACAGTGCAATGTCTGTGAATAAATAACAACAAAATGGAAGATATTATCATAGCTTCAACTGCTACTAAAAATACAAATAATTTTAATTTACTTAAAGTCTCATAACATATATACACAACATTTCATATTATTATTATTAAATTGTGAAGATTTTCAAGAATCAAAGTAGCTGGTCAGACTATGTTGCTGTGGCCAACAAAAGAAAATAGTTAATGCTAAATAACTAATGTTGATAAAGCTTATATAATAAATACTTTTTCAAAAAATATATACCAAATGTATGCAGATGGTTTACTAAAACTAAAAAAATAATAATAAATATATGATTGTATTGTTTATATTATTACGCAAGTACATTCACTTGAATTTATTGGTCATATAACTAAAAACCTTATGAAGGAAATCCATTTTAAAATGTATACCATTATATGTTCCTATTCCTAACACAAAGAAGTTACATTTTTATATCCAAAAATATAGTATGGTTGGTTACAATATTAATTATTATGGACTTGACATTTCATAGTATATAATATTTTATGAAAATATATTTTCTAAAAAATATATATATATAAATTGTAAAGCCTACCAGTCAGATAAACACTAACTGATGCCAGTTATTTGTTGTTTTTAATTAATAAAATATAAAAATTATATAAGCAAAATAAAAAATGTTGATTTAAGAAGTTCTACAAAACTACATTACTTTTAGTAGTTCCTACTATTCACTTGTGAGAGTAAATGTAGAGTCTTATTGGTTTTCTATAAGCAACTATATATTTTTACAAGTATCAAATTAATAATATATATAAATTAGCAGAAATAGTTTATCCATTCCAATGTTCAAGATATTTTTATATTTTGTCACGCTGATCAAATGACAACCTTCAACAATCTTCAAGAATAATGAATTTAAAAGTAGTCAATTAGACTAGTTATAATTATTATTTGTCCTCCAATGGTATCTTGTTTATCATTTATTAGTTTTTATATTAATCATATTATGTTACTTAATAATATATTAATTTAAATGTCGGAACTAAGAATTGCCTGCGATTATTGAAGTTTGACCTTATTGCTTTTGATCATTATATTTTAATGTTGTACTTTTTGTTACATACTATGTTCATGTTTAACTTTCCTTTTATAAATAAAAGTGTTCTTAATTGTTAGGTATTCATAATAGAAATAACTAACTGTTAGGCAGACCAAATTGTACAGAAAATCAAGGAGATTTATTTTTGCAATTTTCTTAACTAATTAATATTAAATTAATGTTACTATTTTATGTATATTAGTTGCACAATTTATCCAAGTACTAACCTTTAATACTTTTATATTATTGTTTTTATAATTTAAACTTGTAATTTTTAATTTGAGTATAGGTTAATACGTTATGTTTATTATCTATACCACAGATATAATGCGTACATTTATAGATAATTTGTGTTTATGTATATTTAATTTGTGTGACGCAATATAGACGAAGTGATCGAGAACCATACCAAAGAAGAAACATTGATCAAACAGCGTGAATCTCGCCATCCAGTTACTGTTAGTAGCAGTAGAGCAACAACTGGATTAGTCAAAAGCCGTCGCAGTGCAACTGAGAAGCGATCATCCGTTGGGGATAAACCACGGAGTATCCACAAAGAGGACAAGGACATCAGCAATGCAAAACCCATCATCAGTGTCAGTGTGCCCAAAGATGAGAAAAAAGAAGAGGAGAAAGAAGTTAAAGATAAAGTGGAAGCTGGCAACAAGCAGAGGTTTGTTTTGAACACAGTCTCAACAACTTGATTCTTAATCCCTTCATCGGAAAATCGTGCCAAGGATTGATATATTTGAACTACCAATTAATAATTAATAAAAAAAACCAATATTATTATCTTTTTAGTACGACAAAGCTTGGATAAATACCCCATTTAAGGTTTCAGTGACTGTAAACTAATGATGTTTTATATATGTGGATAAATTTAATTAGAATTCACCAACTTATATATAAAGTATGTTAATGGAATTAATCTATAACCAAAAATTGTTTTTAATAGACTTCGGTTAGAGTTTTTTTAAATTTCAGTTACTTATATGTTGGGTGGTAATTAGTAATGGATATATTTTAGATAAAACTGATGTATGTAGTAGTCGGTGTGTTGGTTTTACTATTTCAAATAGTATACCATACGCAAGTTACGATAGTTTAATTTTATTTGCAAATAATATTAATAATTTAACAATTGTAAGTATTGGGTAATCAATTTAGTGTTTTTTAGAATTTTTATTTCTGATTACATATTATAAGGATCTATGATTAATATTAGATGTATTTATTCTTCTTTACATTATTGTATTTATAAATTTTTATGAATTCAACTGCAATAATTGTTAATAATTGTATAGAAAAAGCTACTAGATTCATTGAATATTAATAGACAAATAGAGAATATTATATAGAAATGAAGTAATCACATTTTTAGCTGGAATATTCAAAATTTGATTACTTTCTTTATATTCCCAATTTTTGCTATATAAGTTGGTATACAATTTTCACAATTACCTTTATTAGTATTATGTGATTTAAAGTTATATTTTTATTGCCAATTTATTTATAGACATTTTGATTCTAAACTCAAACAAATTACATTTTTAGGTATGTAAAACTGATAATTTTCAATGAAAGTTTGCTATCTACAATCCAGAATCAGAAATATTTATTCTATTTTAATTTCCAATTCTGAAAGCAAATTTGGTAGAATTGCAGTATTGTAGATACGTACAATTATTTAAGTTTTGACTAAATTATTCTTAGGATTAGAATTTGTATGTCAAATACTTGAATTATTGGAATATAGTTCTATCTTCATATACTATTATAAAAATTATAAATTCATGTAAATTTGTTTTTAAAACATTAAGTTATATTTAAAACTATTTTGATTACTCAATATCTACTAAATATAATTACTAATTATTTGCAGCATACCTACTTATATTAATTAAAGTATTGACTTTTATTATTTATAAAATTGTTATCCAGATGATACACTTGGATACATATACATATATATATATATATATATATAACTAATACATACATTTTAATATTTGTACTAAACTTATTAGAGAATGGGGATTAAACTAAAAATTAAACTCCATTTGATAGAATTGTGATTGTGAATCAATAGATATAAAGTCACTTGAAAATTAACGAGTTATTGATTTGACATCTTTTGGTTGGAATTTCTAATTAAGAATGTTAATGGAAATCGGATTGTAAAATATGACTTTGTACATACATGTTTGTACATATTTATGTATTACATATTATTTGAAAATAAAAGTACTACTGCATTAATAAAGTTACAGTATGCAGAATGCAGTTACACAATGAGTTAATATCCCCAATTTCAGCTGTTGAAATGAATAATGTTAATAGAACAAAGATGAACATTTAAAAAATGTGGATGTACATTAACTGCAGAAGTCAAGTCAATTACAAATACAAACTAATAAGTCAAAATAATAAATAAAGAGATTTATAACCAAGCAAATTAGTTTATTCAAGTGAACCATTAGAAAAACGTTATTTCATAATCGAATTTGAAATCTACTGTTAAAGTAATAAATGTTGTTGACATAAAATACTGATGTACTTTGTAGTACTTACCATTTGTATCAAAATGTGCATAATAGTTGTTGTGCCATTTCAAGATGATATATTTTATTATTGAAAAAATTGCATATTAAATATATTGTACAGAAATAGATACAAATTTGCAAGGGATAAAACATTTTCAAATAATAGTAAAACTAATATCATTATATGACAAAGAAGAAAATAGAAATTTGTCTTGTATTATTGTTATTGATAAGTCTTCAATATTCAATAACTTTTTTACCAAGAAGAAATTACAATATTGATAATTATGTGAAATCAAGGTTCACATTAATTATATGTAAAATGTATTGTATCAAGAGAAGTAATTAAATTTTATATGACATACATTTATATAAATTATGTTAATATAATAATACTTCTCCCAAAATTATTTTTTCAAGTGACTTTGGTGTTGATTACTTTCTCATAACACTAAGTATGATTATTGTGATTAGTTTTTTCAACAAAATTAAATATTGTAACAATACATTTGTATATTATGAAGATAATTAGAAATTTAAATCCAAGCTGACTTCATAAAAATATCATACGTATAAGGTATTTAAAAGATATGTTGTCGGTAGTTTAATTAGTATAATATTTTAATAACATTTTTTTATTCAAGTCAAGAAATGGGAACAAGTATAATTTAAATATTTTTTGTTTATATGTGTGAAATATACGTAACTGTATATTAAACAACATTATGAAAATATTTCATATAAGTTATAGTTATTAAACTAATTGTTATTTCAATATTTTCAGTAATGATTCAAAGGTTCTGCAAATATCAAGTGACATATGTAAGTTAATTAAAATTATTAACTAAAGATTTTAGGCAATTGTACAATTATGTTTTTTTTTCTCAGTTAATTAAATTTAATTATTGTCCTTCTTATAAACATGCAATCATTAAAATCTTTTTTGAGAAGAATTTTTTTTATATTAGTTATACCGTTAGAGTGAACCATCAAATCAATATAATCGACTATCAAACATAAATATATGAATATATCTGAGCATCTTGTCAGCTTTTATTGATATTTTAATTTTATGTTATTAATATGTGAAATATTACAACTTTAAATTTAATATTATGTTATTTCTTTTGAGTATTAATGTAAGTTAAACACGATAAGTGATAGTTCTAAATTCAAATTTGGTATATGTATGTTTGAACGATTAAGATAATATTGTGTTTGTGTAACAATGCAACATTTTTGTAATATATTTTTATCAATGTATAAGACTATATTAAATATAAATGTTAAAAAAAGAAAAGCAATCGGTAAACCTTAGAAAAAAGTATGTAATATTAGTTTTGCTAAAATTCTGTCTTAAAATGAAATATTTACTATTGTTTTTAGACTTACAAACCTGTTTTAACCCTTAAATGCCCCACAATATTCCAATTATGTGTAATCACCTTTTTTTCACATTTAAATTTATATTTTAGCAAAGAAAAACAATTTATCCTTGGTACGCAACATTTGGGTGAGTGGTTTGGCATCGATTACTAAGGCGACTGATTTAAAACAACTTTTTTCAAAATATGGAAAGGTAATATTAATAATAATACTACTAATATTTAAAATAATTATTTTATTATGATTCTTCATTGCTATCAAATATTTACAAATACACAGTTATTCAAAATATTATATTTTATACAAATTGTCTTATAACATATACGATACACTTTAGGATATACTTCTGAAATTAATTATAATATTGATTATTTTCAATTTATGTGTTGGTTATACCGATACAACCCATAATTGCCCTATGATTGACACTACTAAAAAATTAGTTTGTGACTGAATGTTACTTACTAGATATCTAACCTTCAGTCATCCCTTCATTAGTACGGAAAAATGTATCATTTAATAATAAATAATTAAATTTTTATAGCATTTTCCTCCACGATTAATATAAATGTTCTATGATCAATATATTTTATAGCTTTTTATTTTGTGCTGCATATTTAATAATAAAAAATGTTTATAGGTTGTCGGCGCTAAAGTTGTGACAAATGCCAAAACTCCAGGTGCTCGTTGTTATGGATTTGTTACATTATCTTCAGCAGAAGATGCTAATCGTAGTATTGAAAATTTACATAAGACTGAACTTCATGGTCGTGTTATCAGCGTTGAACGAGTTAGTATTCATTTTTTTTTTGTGTAGTTAGATATACATTTTTTATAAATGTTGTGTTATTAATAGGCTAAACGTGATAATGGTTATCAAGTCACAGCAAAAAGTTCTAATGCTTCCAAAGTAAATGAAAATTCTGAAGCCGAACAAAATACGAAAAAACTTGAGGAGAAAAAAGATAAACGAGAAGAAAAGAGAGAAAAGAGACCAGAAATTACCATTAATGATGTTAAAAAACCAGACTTGTGTAGCTTAAAGCGATCATGTTAGTATTCAGAGTTTTAATTTCATAATTTTGTGTATTTTAATCTTGAAAATTTTTCATTCATTTTTTGTAGTATCAAAAGATCAAAACCAAGAATCAAAACGTTCAAAAATTGTAATCGAAAGAGATGATCGAAAAAAAGATAGGAGCATAAAAAGTAAAAGTAATGAGCGTGACCGAGAAAAGCTAAGAGAATTAGAACGAGAAAGAGAACGCTTAGAAAGAGAAAAGAGAAAACAGCAGGAAATTTTAAACTTGACAAAAATGAAAGTAAGCTAAATTTTAATTCATAAACAATTATTATTTTATTATTTGTATAGTTTTAAATAGAACATGCTAATCTTTTTTTATGCTTTATTTATTTTATTAGACTGAACGTGAAAGGTTAAGACAAAAAGAACAAGAGAGAGCAATGAGAGAAGAAGAACGCAAGAGACGTATTGAAAAAGAACGCCAATTAGAAATTGAAAGAAAGCAAAAAGAAGAAGCAATTCGCCTAGAAAAGTAAATGTCTCAAATACAAAAATGTAATACCTATATAATATCACTATTTATTTATTTATTTAGAGAAAGACAGAAACTTCGAATTGAGCGTGAAAGAATTGAAAAAGAAAAATCTGAACTATTGCGTTTGGAGCGTGAAAATCAACGCTTAGAACGTGAAAGATTACAAAGAGAAAAGGAAGAATTACGTAGAGCACAAGAAAAATTAGAAGAAACAAAGCGCCAAGCATTACTAAAGCGTGCTATGCCTCCATCTCCACCACTTCCTAGTAAAAGACATTCTTCATCAAATTCATCTCGATATGAAGAAAGGTACATATTTTTTTAACATGGTTTTCAATTAATTACTTTTGTCTATTTTCAATTTGAATTTTTTTGCAGAAAAGAACCAATTCGTAGTTCTCGTATCCAGCCTAGTACAGACTATATGAACCAAGCCCCTCCACCTCCTAACATAACATCATCAAGACATCGCTATGAACAGCATTCGTCAGATTCTCGTCGTATGAGGCCATCACCACCACCTCCTCCACCGCCTGCATCAAGACCTAAAGACTCTACTGTTAATATCAGGTAATATTTGTATACTGTTGTAGATAAATTAAAGAAAAAAAAAAAATTTCAAAATTCTTATTTTCATTACTGTGATACGTTATGATTACGGTTCATAAGAATTTTGTAAAGTAAGATTCAGCCATTTGACAGCTATATAGTTTAATAATAATTATCTTGGTTTGTACAGGCAATGATACAGTTTTTAACAAATCTAAATGTTTTAACATGTGACTTGATTTATCAAATCAAAGTTCTTGTATATTACTATAAATTGATGTAATATTTGTAGTACTTTTGAACTTGGTACAATAAAATCGACTATTGACAGCTAAACAATTTTATTGATATTTGTTTATGTTTGTACAGGTTAAGAAACAATTTTTATTGTTAAGTGATAAAAGTATTTTTAATTTTTTTTTTTTGTAAACCTAATTATTTATTAATATTGAATGTTTTACACTGATTGTAGATATGGTGGTGCTCCACCAGCAACAGATCATCATTACAGAAGTCGTGATGATCGGTCAGATCGAAGAGAAGAATCTCGAAAGAAAGATTCAAGCAGTGGTGGTAGTAACAGACATGCTCATGCATCATATGATTCAAACAAAAGTTGTAAGTCTTAAAATCAATTAATATTTGCTTATTATTTATTTCTATATCACAATGACTCTTTTTATTTCAGCCTATGGAATGTCCCGCAACAGTGATGGTAATACCTGGTCATCAGCCCCAGTAAAGAGTTCTTATGGCACACTCAGCTCAAGCTCTGGAACTAATAATATGGTAATAAGTTCGAGACCAGATCCTTGGTCAAATAGTAATAATAGTCGAGAAATTGAAACAACTGTGTGGCAACGTCCTCCTCAACCACCACCAGAGAAGTATGTTGTATACATTTCTTAAATACTTGTATTAGTAATTTATATAAAACATTATATTACTTGTCTTAGCAGATGGAACAGTACTTCAAGTAATCCTTCATCTATGTCAATAAGTGGACGTAGTTCGAGTAGTAACCCCTTGTATGGAAATAACCATCAAGTTATACCAAACATGGGATTAAACATGTCAACTAACTACAGTGATAGTAGATTTGACAGTTACAAAATGAGTGGCATGTCACGAAAATATTAGAGAGACTTCTATCGTACAATCATTAGCAATTAATCATTGCACAACACATTCTGTTGTTCTTGTGCCGTTTTTGCTAATTTTGTATGTATTTTAACTTTCAACAGTAACTTTTATACATACAATATTAATATTATATTACTTCAACTGAATTGTTGAACTAATAAGTATGCATTTTTGATACACGATGTAGTTGGTGAATTATTAAAATGCAGAAACAATTATTTTGAGTTTTAGTTAAATGCATTTTTTAAATGAGTTAATTTATTAAACTTATATTTATGTAAAATATATTAATTATCTTAATCTTTTAGTATTTACTCATTGAAAAAATGTTTGTAATCAATGACTTATTTGTGTACCTTAAAATAAATAAGTTTCTTCTATTTTGTACATTATATTATCTATATTTTAATTATAATAAAATAACACTAAGAATACATTGATTTTATAATGAAGTTTTAACTTTAACTATACATGTACCCTTGTACCAATTGTTTTATATGCATTTTTGTCTGGAATTTAGTGTTCTAAAAAAAAGCATTATCAAATATAAAAAATTCTTTCAACCACAATAATACTTCATTGGTTTTTAATATCTCAACATTTTTCTTTTCACTTAGACATCAAAATACCAAAAGTCAACTGTTAATAAATAATTGAAGTACTTATAGAAACTTACTTTAGACCTGTAAAGTTTGATGTAAACATGATCAAAAATCTTTTAAAAATTGGTCGTCATACTCTTTATTTCCACCTGGACTTTTCAGTTTATAGATCGCAATATCATATTAGCTTATTATTAAAAATAAATATATTATTCATTAATAATATACACTCCTTTTTTTTGTCTAGTATGTCTTTGGGATTACCTAATAAAAAATAAATTAAGATATTGCATAGTATGTATTATATTAATGTTTGCATACAATTATTGGTAATGGTAGGTACCTATCCACTATACGTCTATACAAATTACATGTTACTACAATATTACTTTTAGACCTACAGTCGAAATGTTTAATATATAACGCTTCTAAAGTCTAGATGAAATATTACACATAGAATAAGTAGATATTTATTATCTTATAACCGCCTATTAGGATAGCAATCATAGTTTTTGAACTTATGGTAATGAATCATTCTTCCACAATAGCAATGACTTCGATTTCCACAAGCGCATTCTGTAAATAATATAGTTAAATTGTCTATTAGTGTCTAAGGTGCTAAAGTTTTTAATGTATAATATTAATTTCCCACCAATGGTAATTTAGCCACTTGATATGTAGATCTGGCCGGATACGGTTCTTTTACAACTGTAAATAAATCAATCGACAGTAACAAAATTATTATCCACAATATTGATTATTATTTATTGCTAGGTACCTACAATAAATAAAAAACTAGCTATATTAACCATTACATTTGACTGTAAAGTATAATGTATACTACTATACTGGTAATTATGAGTATAATTTGGTCGATTTTCCAATAATATATTTTAAAAATAGAGATTTTGGTGAACGATTTCGAAATCGGTCACACAAATTTACAATAATTATTGTCGTAAAAAAAATTGTAAAATTGATTTTTTTCATTTGGTGTGAAAGGAGCACTTTGCTAATTTTTGAGGGGAGTGAAATCCTGTACAAATCAAACATTTTTATGATGAGGGCTGTAGAAAGTTAGAAACGTTTCTACATATTTCCTAAAAAATGTACAAAAATAGTTTTTAATTATAAATTGTAAATTGTAATGTACATTGCATATAATTTGCGTGAATAAAATTGTATAGAAGTAAAATTTACCGTGGCACTTAATTCAATATTTGGATACAGATAACCGAAAAAAAGTTTAGGGGCATCGTATTGTTATGTGCTCACGAGTATGGGGTATGGGCATGGCCTATTAGTATAAATGTATAATACGCGTGGCTAATGGCTAGTGTGCATTGTGTAACTGACAGACGTGAAAAAATGGTCTGAATACAAATACCAGAATGAATACCTAACCCAATACCTAAATTAATAGATAAGGATGATATTTTGTTGTCTCTGTTTCTCCTACATTCATGCATTCTCACACACAGTAATGCAGTATAATAATAATTTAAACGTCTACTATTTCGATATTTTTTTTTTCAATTGATGTTATTATGCAATCACCAAATTAGGTGATTAGGAATTCGGTTACAGATCATGGTAAATAATCGTGGCGTACCGATTAGCCTACAATTTGATTTACCGACACATTATATAGTTCAAAATTAATTATGCTTATTAGTTTATTATTTATTATTTATAAATTATGATTGTTACATACAAGGCTGCAACATATATAAGTAAATTACTTATAAAAATTACGAATATTGTTCAAGTTAACTCTATATTGACTATGTATGTATAAACTATAATCATACACTATTTCACTTATCTTTATTTTTTAGCCTAAATAAATTGTAATTTAAAATGTTGTTTGAAAAAAGTTTATTATTACCTCATTCAAATCTATAAATGCTATGGGTTACTTTTTACTTTTACTTTACAAATGACAATCTTTCTTCTCATTTTAGAATTTGAGTGGAGTATAAATGTATTGATTTTATTATAAGTGAAGTTTTTTTTTAAAATATAATACAAGATCATCATGATCTCATAACTCATAAATTTGTTTTAATGGAATTCAAAAAAAGTTTAGCGTTAATCCACATACATTTTTTCATGAGTTATTGTATTTCAAATTGTGAAGACATGTGTACAACATATTGACATGGACACATGGTAGTCTACTGTCTTACGTTTTCAAGATAGATGTTGGTCCTGGCTTCGTCAGTATTATAGTGATTAGGTATTGATAAATGATTCGGGATTCCACATAGTACATACTTCACATTATTTTAAGTAACAATATTTTACATTTTTACCCATTATAATATTATCAAGCACTCGACAAATTGACAATACAATATTTAATATTTACTAACTGTCAATAATATCATACTATCGTCTACCATAGTTTAGTTTATTTAACATTTTGATAGTAAATTAGTAAATAGTAGATTTCCGCATTCAAATTATTTTTATATTTTGTGAAATTACGATATGTCTGAGCCCTAAAACTTTTTTCTTATTATTATCGGAGAATGGAGACCGGTTTACTTGTTGGTAAAATAAGTAGAGCCGGTGGCGCCGAAGTTTTTAAAATGTGGTGGGGTAATTTCAAAACTTCGCGGCCTCGATATATTAATTATTTAGTATAGAAGTACCTGGTCCTGCTCTAATTTATATTTACTCATAATCATGGTGACATGGATTTAATACTCATGCTCATAATAAAGTTATGATGTAAATAAAGTGTGGCCACATTTTTAAAAAAAGAGGTCGCGCCATGGCCCGATATTAGCATGGACTTCGACGCCACTGAGTAGAGCCGTATAAGTAGTCAGCTAATTGTGTGTTGGCGAATCGAGCCAGCACCAAAATTATTTAGTCAACCAATCTACCATTAGTTACTGGAATACACAGATATCTCGGTGAGGGAGGGCGTAAATTAATTACACTAGTAAAAATTAATCCTCAGTAATCAGTATAGGTACATCTATAGAGTCTGTTGTCTACTAGTTATTACTGAAATACAGATCGAGTTTCCCAGTTGCCCACTTGTTTGATTCTTAATAAATCCACCAACACTAATCTCTAATGTGTAAATTAGTCATAAAGAAGTCATCTTTACTATAGACTTATCATGATTAGAAATGATGAAATTATTAATATTTGAAAATGCTCATAATTCACTTGAAAATTAAAATATCGTAAAAACAAACTGAGGGAACACGGATAATGTTCTTACCTAAAAGTTTGATAATACATTTACTGTAATATCATTTTTTTTATATGTGTTCAGAGTTCAAGTGTTTGAAAAAATTGTAATGTGTATAATCACGAATATAAGTAAACAATTCGTACAATTTCAATGACGTGGTACACTTACAGCCGACATAGCTGACAACGTTAGGCGTTAGACATATCTAAGGTACAGGCTTACAGCAGGGCGAGTTCCCCGGTTTTATTTTTTAATTTAATCTGTGTTCATTACAAACGGTTTGAAATCCGGTTCCATTCTTAATTCTTACTGAATAGTTTGAGTTGAGTGTACTAAAATAATTTTAACGCCTTGTCGCCATTATATAAATATAAAATAATAATAATAATAATAATAATAATATAAACTACCTATATATTATATATGCATGCGTCATAGTGTCATACGATAAAATATGTTCAGCTCGAAAATAAGACCGGCTCGATTACGATTGACGACGATTATATTATGAGCGGTTACGGCGTTTCATCAAATAGGGCAACCGTGTACCAGGACCCCATAGAAGCGAATCGGTCAAATGTTTAAAGTTTAAACATAGCGTATTTTAATTTTCAGCGCAGCGAAAGAGAATGCAGCATGCGATTATGGGCCCCTTGTACCGTGGTCGACCGCTGAGAACGAAAACGCATCCGGGTAGTAATGACTGGCAAGTATTTATTGTTTCAGTATATTATCTAAATCAGTATCTCGTCGTACCGCTCAGTGTACTAAAAATCGTTAATTTTTCTACGTCGGACACTCGGACCTCGAATCGTGATTATTTGTGACTTCCCTTACTCTTGTTTAAACTTTTCTTTTTTATGATTTTTGGTTTTTTCTCTTCGTGTCCTGCTAGTCTCACACATTAGTGTGATTTTTTACGTTATTATGAAATACCAAGAGGAGTAGAGGACTATCGCCAACACATCAAACCAACAAAAATAATTGGGGACCTCGAACGGCTGAACTTTTGTATCCCCCTTGTAGTATATGTTTTGATTTGCGGGCCTCTCCTAGAAAAATATTAAAAAATGTTTCTATTTTGTAATTGTTTGCTTATTTTTTACCTTGTAAAGTTACTCGAAACTATTAACATATTAAACTTTATATATTATAGACCTGCCCTAGAACATTTTTTTTTACACGGAAACCTTATGATTCGAGCTTTATACGTATTAAATACACACACACGCACACACCCCACAGGGTTATTCGCCAAAAAAAATTTCCCCCCCCACCACCATTTTTTCTTTAATGATGAATTAATTAAATAATTATAATATTTATAAGTACACTTATAAGGACCTAGATATTCAGATATATACATTTCATATTTTAGGTAGGTAGATCATATTAGACCAACTACCTAACAAGTAATAACTATACATAGGTATTTAAACATTTTAAATAATATAGTATCATAGGCATTTACTTATACCTATATAATATGCTACCTATTCACATTAAAAATAATTATTCATTTATTTTTAAATTGAACAATATATTATGGATATCGGCTATTTAATATTATTTAGTTAATATTTATAACTATAAAAAACTATGATCATAATTACATTCTTGATAGACTTCGTTGACAAACTTGGCATTGTTAATGTCACTCAGCAGTATTGTGGTCTTAGCAACTGGAAAATATAATGACGAATACAAATAAATAATATATATTTTGCATTTATGTGTGTAAATGAGTAATACCTATATGTTTATTGCGTATAATGTATATTAATATATTATACTTATTACTTATATATACGTAGGTACAATATACTTGTAACTTATAAACCTAGATAGGTAAAATTAAAATCAAATAGGTTACTTTGTATAAATATATAATCCGTTTATATTTTGTAAGTTCTATATAGGTAAGTAGTAAGGTATATGCATCTAGAGTCTAGATTATGTAGATCGTAAGATCGAAAGTTATAAGTAACCTATAGATATGTTATAAGACACGAGATTCAAAATGTGTATAAATAAAAATGCAATGTATCTAGTAAAGTACCCATTATCTATTCATTATCATTATAATATGTATTAATATTTTAGATTCTGAGATCTATTTTAGACGGATGGATTGATTTTACAAAGATGTGGGTTTTTTTTTTAATTTATAAGTAGTCGAAATAATGATTCAATTTTCAACTTCAGTATATTTTTCCGGTGGGAAAGTGAATCTAGTTGGTGCATTTGGGAGGGCAAAATTCAATATTCTTAATAGTTTTCGAAAGCGCTTGTAAAAACAAACAATGAATTTAGAAAAACCGGGAATTTTAATTTTTGGTGTAACAAAAAAAAATGATCGAAGATGCATGAAACTTTCACTGAATGTATATGTTAGCAATTTCTATACACACCATCAAATTGATGACTCATGTTAAGCTATTTATAGGCATGAGAAATTTTCGATTATTTCTAGTTTTTTTTAAAAATTAATATCAATAAAAACATTTTTGCTTAGCCAAAAAACTTGAAAATGTATTTCAAGATTCCTCGTAAGCTGTTGTCAGTGGAAATTTAAAAAAAGGTGTGGGTAAATCAACAAAAAACTTTTATGCGTCTGAAGTTTTATTTTTGACAAAATACTTTAAAACCACGAACATATACTAATTATTTTAAGTTAGAAATTCATAAATGAAATTAACCTATCATAGTATTAATGTATAACACCAAAACAATTCACTTCAATCACAATAATATCAATAATCATCATATATATTAAGTAATAAGTAATATTATAGGCTTACAGGCCGTCTTTTTTCAGATCGTTTTTCGTCAGTAGGTACACTGTACACATCCTTTACGGTGATCCACATGTGACATCCGCTTACCCGCTTTTTTTTCTATTTATATATACACATTAATAATTTATTTATTATAAATTTAAAAAATGAACTTTTACAGACATTATACATTATACGTATATTATACGTGCAGCCGTGTAGCCGTGTAGGTTATCGCGAATAGATTCATCATTGCTGTTCCAACTATCGAAAGTTACGAAATGATAATCAACATATAATAATATTCATTCAATATTCAAACTTGTTTAAAATTTGTATGGGTAGCTTTAAATCTCAGAACGATTAAAATAATATAGGTATACATTATACTTAAGTTAAATTCAACTATATGATATACTTACGTATTATAACTATTATAAGAATATTTTTAGAGAAATATAATATTTTAATTATGGGCATTTTAAATATACTTAGTATGTGTTAAAAATGTACACACTTCTACCATAACATTAAATTTAATTTTCCCAACGTTTCCTGCCGATATCAATTCGATAAATTTAATTTATGTTCAATTTGAATTGGATTTGTATTACTTATTGTTATTTACTTGTGTATACAAAATATTATCAATACGAGTAGGTATACGATGAATGATGATGACATCACTATAATTGAATCATCTATTATTTGTCAAATATCGTTTTGGCTATTGAGTTCAATTGAACCAAATAATATATTGTGTGTCTTTTATAAGTTATACAATATTGTAAATTATTAGACAGAGACGGTGGAGTAAAAACAGAAAACGTTAAGAGTGGTCCACAAGTCTCCTGCAATTGCTTATTGTGTAAATAACACCAGTATTAATTTACTATACGTTTACACTCAGGCGTATTGGGTATAGCTTTGTTTAGCCGGTTTAAGACTATAGTACATTAGTAGGTACGTGACGGTTCTACAATGTACCATAGATTAAATATACTTATATTAAATATTAAATATATATTATATTTAATCTATGAATGTACCTACTATCTATATACTATTCATTAATTATTAAAATATGATACATAAAATGTTTACAGTGCTGAACAGACAAATATGTCCAAAACTAACCAATTTAACCTTTGTAGGGATAGAAAAATCATATGACATTTATGTAAGACGAGTGTTAATTTATTATTTTTAATGAATAACATACTATCAATGATTTTCTTAATATTTATGATATAATAATTAAAATATAGTACAATAATATGATATTTATTCATTAAGATTGTCTCAGATTGCGTCTAAATTGTTAATGTTCAGTGATATCTATTATTCTAATAATTATGTATATACGTGGTCTTGGCTGTCCATTATCATTCTGAGGTTTAACTATTTTAGTAATGAATCTTTTTAATTTTAATGTCTGTAATATTAGTACATATATTCTATGGTAGTGTTATCAAACCGATATCCATTTTAATGGACATTTGCTTTTATTATTTTTGAATAAAGGGTGATAAGTAATAATTAATAAGTAATATTATCATAAGATCTATATTTATATAAATTTTAAAGCACTATTTTATTAATGTAACCTATATTTCTAAATTTATATTGTATTATTCTTTTGTTTGTATAAAGTAGTAAGTACTCTAATTGTCAAAAAGTAACCACGAATAATGTTTTTAAATCACAATAAAATAACTTAAATCATTATTCTTGGTTATTTAATATGTAATTTCGTCTACATTTCAACATAAAATAACTAAAAAAAAACTGTAGCTTAATACGCTTAATAAATAATAATACTGTATTACTGCTTTCAAGTAGTAAATACAAAATTGTTTAAATGTTCAATAGATTATGTAATAATTATTGTCCTGTTTGGTGAGGAAACATCCAATGAAACGGTGGGGAGGGGGGAGTCTTAGATTCAAGTTTAAACATAATATTGAGTATGGATAACATTCAAGTGACAAGTTTGACGTTTGTTTAAATTTGTATTAGTTTCATCAGTATTAAGTTAAATACGCATTATAAACATAATATTATGCACTTAATTCGAAATAAAAGAAATTAATTTTCATATCTAACGACAACTTCCAAAAAATTGGATTCACGAAGGTAGGTCCAAGTACCTATACGATGGGCCAGAATCCCGAAAAAAAAGAACCAAAAGAGAACACAGAAAAAAAGAACAATATTTTAAATAATGTAGAATATATTAATTGATTATGAAAATTAGAAAAAAAAACATTTGTAAGTAGTGTGTAAAATGATCAGTGAGCACTATGCACAAGGAACACATAGAATTCATTAAAAACGGTCGGTATCCAATATCTTTAAGCAAAATGTATATTTAACTTAATATTTAAAAATATTGATTTCTTTTGAAAAATCTTGTTTTTATTTCATACAATTATTAGAAAAATTAAAAAAGATAACTTTTATTCTTCATCTTTATATAGGTAATATATTAAATATATTAATAATATTTTGTATTGAATGTAAGTGTGTAACGAAGTATGTAAGTGAATTTTGTTGTGATAGTAACTACTAATTTGCAATATTTTTTTTGATTAATAAACATTTTAAAACATGTGGATAATGAGTGATCTCTTTATACACTAATTACAAATGTATGTATTTTTTGTTTAATTTTCATAATAAATTAGTATTATATTTAAAATTTTTAAAAATTGTTCTTTTTTCCTTTGTCTCTTTTACCTATTACCGATGAGTCAATATGAGTTTGGGTCGAATAATGAATCAAAAGGATGGCAATTGGCAAAAATATGAAATTAATAATAACTGACGGGCAATAGCAATTATGATGATAAATGATAATCATGGGTTAAAAGATTTGATTTGAGTTAGTAGTCAACGTAGTCTGCAGGTGAGAGATCAAAATCCAAAAGGTAAAACCTATCAACTACGTGCACAATAACTACCGGGCACCGGCAAATGGCAATGGCGCGAGATAAAAGTGGCGCGATCACACATTATTCGTATTCTGTGGGCCGGGCCGTGGAGTGACGGTGCGTCACATGATCGGCGGGTGGTGGGAAGCGGTAGGCGATGGCGTTTTTGTTTATCAACAACGGCGGCAGTGGCAGTCAGTGTGTGATGGACGCACGCGGTGCCCAGTGTCGCCAACCAGTGTTGGATTCATGTCGATCCATGACCAGGCATGTGGGGAGGGTCTGGTCCGGCGGTTAATAGAAAAATAAGACGCGAGGGCGCGCACGCACTTCCATTATCGATCGTGGTTTTTAATGCGACGCGCGGTCACACTGCGTGCTAACCTCACCAAACGCTCGTCGATTGTACGCTATCCACCGTCTCTCACCCTATCTGCTTCTCTCTCTTCCGATTTCCTCTCGGCAAATCACATGTACTTTAAGCGTTTTCTACATTGTTCAATTGTAAAAATGTGTTCTCTTTAGATACATTTCTTCGTTTTGCGACTATAATCGTTTATACAGTATGTAAGTACACATTCACGTTTTTATTTTAACTCTGGCGCGATGTATTCTTGCAAACGCGCTATTTTTGTCGGCCGACTGGCGGTCGGATATGGCCGCCTGACGTCCACATCATGGACGGCCGTTGTATCATCGCGCGAGCCTTGTCATCCCCGCCATCCGACGGCTGTGGCTGCTCGGGTCGTAGACCAGTAGTATATTTGTCACTTAGACGGTGTTCGCGCCATTTGCTATTAAGGGTGTTCGTCACGTGGGACCGCCCTTGGGCAGGTGCCCTTATGGACTTCAAGTTTGGGTCGCTTTTTAGGTTAAGCTCCTGGTGTATGTGCCCTGGCTTGTCGACTTGGACTTGAAATTTGTTATGTGAAAAGGTCTGCTCTTAACGACTTAAGCGTAGAGAGATTGACCGTAGTATTGTTCAGTATTTAACTTATGGTTAGATGTATCTAGATTCCAGGCCCTCCAAGTGTTCAATGATGGCAGTGGTTAGGGCTGATTGTGCGCTAAATAATTTGGTTTCAAAGTCTCTTATTCTCCTTAATTTAGCTTTGTAAAGATTTACATTAACCATTTTAGATTTAATGAAATCTATTGTTATTTAAGTGTTGGTGTTATTTTACTGCGTTAGTTTTGTCTTATAATTATTTATATTAATGTATTTGGTCACTAAGCTGCATATTTAATGATTCGGTTAAATTGTATCATAGAAAATTTAATGAATTTATTATATTAATGTGCTACTATCGAGGCAATAGAAAACGTTAGATTTATTCAAGGCCAATTGAATCTTTGTCTTTGATTATGTACCTGCTTTTACCTTAATCGTTTGTGTTTAAGTAAAATTTGAAATTCGGTTGTAGTTACATCACTAACCTAATATTAGTGAGTATTAATGGTTAATAGAATCTTCAAATACAATATTAATTCCTATTTATATATTTTAGTTTTAATTAAAATAACTTTAAAGATACGTTAGAAACTTTTAACTAAATTCATTACATTTTCTAATACTAAATGTGAAACCATGAGTTACAAAATTATTGGGTATTAACTAATTCAAATTAAAAATTATTATTTACCTCAATAAATTATCAATATTACGTAGTAAATCAATTAAACAGTTTTAGTCTGATGATAACTTGTATTTTTTATCAAGTAAATGTTTAAAGTAATTAAATTGTACTTGTAGTGTCGATTCTTAAGTGAAGTTTTGTCGGATGATTTATTAGATATAATAGGGACAACACTAATTCATTATTAAATAAATGTATTTTACTTAAATTGGATTCTATTTTTTTTTCATGGTCAAGTTAAAACAATATTTAATTACATCGTATTATTGTGTTATTTTTGTTGTATATCCAATTAATAAAAAAATCTTTAAAGTTACATAAATATTAATCATCATTTGACATTATTGTTATTTTTAACTATAATAATAAAAATTTGTTTTTCTCGAATTCCGTAGGAAATTAAAATGTAGTGTATCACTAAATGATAAATTTTAAAAAAATTGTTAGGTATGCTATTTTTTTTTTTTATCAACAATTTTGATTTTTTTAAATATTTGTGAGAATTTAACCTTGAAAGAATTATTGTCTATACATGTTATGTGTTTTAATTTTATAACCAATTTTAAATTTGTCGATTTCAGAATATTTTAAATAATGAATGCTAATGAGACGAAAAATGGACCCCCTAGTGAAACTAATGACTACTCAGGACCACCCGGCATGGATGTCGGTGGAACTATTGAGTCTGACTGGAAAGAAGTGGTCGACAACTTCGATGAGATGAATTTAAAAGAAGAATTATTGCGTGGTATCTATGGATATGGTTTTGAAAAGCCATCAGCTATTCAACAACGTGCTATTTTGCCATGCATCAAGGGGCATGATGTTATTGCTCAGGCCCAATCTGGTACTGGCAAGACGGCTACTTTTTCAATTTCTATTCTCCAACAAATTGATACAAGTTTGAATGAGTGCCAAGCACTCATTTTGGCACCAACGCGCGAATTGGCTCAACAAATTCAAAAGGTAAGCTTATCTTGAATTTTTGTTTGATTAGATTTTTAACTGTTTACGATGTAACATTGTTTTTAGGTGGTTATTGCTTTGGGTGACTTCATGAAAGCTGACTGTCATGCTTGCATTGGAGGAACAAACGTTCGTGATGACATGCGTAAGCTGGATACTGGATCCCATGTAGTGGTTGGCACTCCTGGCCGTGTTTATGACATGATTGCTAGAAAATCTCTACGAACTCAATTTATCAAGATATTTGTGTTGGATGAAGCTGATGAAATGTTGTCTCGAGGTTTCAAAGATCAAATTAAAGAGGTGTTCAAGTTCCTCGAAGAAGATATTCAGGTCATTCTGTTGTCTGCTACTATGCCCGAGGATGTTTTGGATGTGAGCACTCACTTCATGCGTAATCCTGTACGCATTCTTGTGCAGAAAGAAGAACTAACATTGGAGGGTATGTATAATAACCCTTAATTGGTTAGTATTTTCTTAGTTGATTAATTATTATTTATTTAGGAATCAAACAGTTCTACATCAATGTTACCAAAGAAGAATGGAAGTTTGATACTTTATGTGACTTGTACGACACTCTTAGTATCACCCAGGCTGTGATATTCTGTAACACACGTCGTAAGGTAGAGTGGTTGACTGAAAATATGCGATTGAAGACATTTACTGTATCAGCTATGCATGGAGAAATGGACCAACGTCAACGTGAGCTAATTATGCGTCAATTCCGTTCCGGCTCTAGTCGTGTTCTTATCACCACTGATTTGTTGGCTCGAGGCATTGATGTACAACAAGTCTCTTTGGTTATCAACTATGATTTGCCCTCCAATCGTGAGAACTACATTCACAGGATTGGACGTTCTGGCCGTTTCGGTCGTAAGGGAGTCGCCATTAATTTCATCACTGAAGACGACAAACGAGCAATGAAGGATATTGAATCGTTTTACAACACTCACGTGCTCGAGATGCCACAGAATGTGGCCGATCTGCTGTAGACATGCTTTGTATCTGTGAGTAGTTACTTTGAAACAAGTGAAATACAGCGTTCAAAAACGATTCAAATTTTCTTTTTTTTTTTATATATAAATACTTATATAAAAACAGAAAAACCATAAAAAAATTTAATTGAAACTATCCAATATTTTATCTTAAGCAGTTTTTTTCCTTTTCATTTTACTGTGTTTGAGTGACATGACTATTTCAACTATCCAATTTACGAAAATGATAAGTGCACATTTTAATACTTGGTATGTTTTGATTTTAAATAAAACTTATTATAAAATTTTCATTGCTTCATTTTACTTCCGTTTGATGATTCCTTCTCAGTTGTAAATATAATGTTGTCTTAAAATTGACAGCTTATTGAACATAATATTAATGTTCCTAAATGTTCAAAGTTTTATTTAAGACTGACGGTTGGTTATTATCAACACAAAAATAACTTACAAAATTATTGGAAAGTATTTGAATAAAATATAATGATTTTTATTTAAAATTACCAGTTAAGTTCTTCTTAAACAGGAGTGTGACATTCTTTAGGGGCGTCACCTTAAAAGATAAACACCAAATGAACAAGTTGGCTTGTAAAATGTTGTTGACAATTTAGTATGAATAATGGACTCATTATATTTGATGGCCTCTTCAAAACAAATACATTTGTGAGAGTTGTGAATCAGAAAAAGTTGCGCATCATGTTAGAACAACTGATGTTTTTTAAATTTCTTATTAGTTAGGTTAGGTTTAAAATTTTAGTTGAGATGATAATTCCACTAAAATTTATATTAAGAATTATAATTTGTATCATGGTACTTTTATATAAAAAATACAATCATTTTCAACATTTTGCTAAGGCCTATATTTAATGTATGACGTGGAGAATGTCCAAATCTATTATTTTTTAATGTGTTTTACTCAAAACACCAATACCTAATAATAAACAAACAAACAAACTAAAAGTGACATTTGCATTTTTTGTTTTTAGTTTCGAATATATGTTATTAATTGAACAGTTAAATACATTTTGATTAAGACGTTATTAAAGAAGCTATTAAATAAAATTGTTGGTGATGTTATTGAAGCATTTATTAAATGTTCATAACACATTTATTATTGTATTTTCACTCTTACTTTTATCGAATGAAGTGCCAGCATGTTTAAGTATCGAATGGATATTTTTTAGTGACTGCCTAGCCTCAGCCGCTGCTCCACCCTCAACCGGTTTCAACGTCTTCTCATCTAGGCCTAAAGAACCAGAAACATACAACACATTGCCCGCCTGCACCGCCTGACTAAGATTAAAAGTAAAATACAATTTTAATTCTTTTTTTGTAAATGGTAAAAATGTTTTCTTATAAAAATTTGATTAAAAAAACTAAACATTGTAAAGGTTCAATAGTACTTACTTGTAAGCTCCAGGAAGTTTTGGAACCAACGGGGAGTTTATTATTTTCCTTATTACACTCATAATATTATTATTCTTATTATGTTCAAAAATATTTCAATGAGCTATAATATTTTTCTATCGATCACATCAATATTCTACTAAAACGTTAACTCAACCTCCTGTTAAAAGATAATCACTACTACCACATTCATAATAACCAGATTTATATTTAGTAATTAACCAATAAATAGGTACACATTAACTTTATTCTACTAATTAGGTTATAGGTAATGAGGTCATTAATATTATTTCAGTAACCTAGTTGCTATTAGTTTTAATTTGTATTCTCATATCTCAGTTAACAGAAATGTAATTATTTCTGTTTCCTTTGTTTGGTATAGCTTTAATGTTTAGTAATAATATTTATTTTTAAATACTGAGAGATAACTTTTTTAGTTTTTGCATTATGATAATATATTATAGTAACATTTTATATTTTCATAATCATTTCATAATAATATTCTAATGATTAATTTATTTCATGTGATTTATATGGGGTGTTCAGTATTTTATTATATTTATATTTATTTATTTTTAATTTTCTGTGGTACATTTAATACCGATGTCTAATGATTTATTATTAGACGTAACTGTGGGAATTTATATTTCAAGTTTTTGCACTTTTTTTATAACTGCCTAGAGAACATGATTTTTGTATATAATAATTTTAAAATTGAGTTACATTATTGAGTGTTTTTCTAAAACTAAAAGTTTGAAGTAGTTTAATGCGTGTTTTTTTTTTAAAGGAAATTGTTCATAATACAATTTACTCCTCGTTAAGTTCATAGTAAATACTTTCATTTTTTACTTGTTTTCCTTAAATTTGTATGTACCTATATTATATAAATTTTTTTTTCGTTTTGAAACCAGTTAGGGTAAGAGATAAGCATGTGTAATATATGCATAATAATAAAAAACAAAAATCAAAAATGTGTTTTATTTTGTTTACATGTCTATGAGTTATTGTGCTCGTCATGGTTTTATACTGATTCCGTGAATAATATTATGTTATAATGGTATAGATTTTTTTCTTTAGTCAAATATTTAATGTTTCATATTTATTGATCCCCCTTTATCAATACATGTTATTTATCTGGAGTTAGGTTAGTTAAAAATAACGTTTTGGATATGGATTTTTAATGACAGTGATATTTTGTTAGGTGTTGATCTGCTATTGTGAATGTTGATGGTTTTATACTTGTAGAGTATTATTTCTATTTGGTTAATCTTAATGCAGTTATTCTTAAATAATATGAGGTACAACTTAAGAGCAATATACACAAGTCCACTCCGTGGCCGACCATTGGTGTTCCAAAAGTATCATGCAACTAGAAATATGTAGGGCTAAAATACAAGTGTATCATAGACACAGATAAGGAATACTTGTAATGCCACCCAATCAAAGTGTCTCTCTCCCGGTGCACTTAGAAAATGTCTAGTATAAAAGTTCTAAACATTATGAGAATTAAAATTTCTGTTTTTAAGTTTTTGTTACTAAATGTTAAAGGTTATAAATTATTAGCCTTATATAAATATCTTGACAAAGATTGCATGTTTTTAAAGTTCCATAAGAAGCGAGTAGAAAAATAGTATATACTACTAATTGTTTCAGAATATGTTTTATTTGTTTATTATAATTTAGATAAAATCAGTTAGTAGTAAAAATCTTAATTGAACTGAATTTGAATATTATAACAAACTTTTATTTTGAATATTTTGGTACAATATCCGAGTATAATTTAAAACATAAAGAAATTTAAATGGTAAGTTTAGAAAACAATGTAAAAAATGAATATATAGTTTAATAATAGTTTAAATCCTGGTAAAAGAAAAGATAATGAATTAAATTGAAAATCTAACACAATATTATCACGGATGTCGTGTAATAAATAGTGGAGACTGCTCGAGTACAGCATTTCTGTAATTGTTATAAGAGATTTTGTGTTTGGTTTGTTTGAACCTTATGATACAATAATGTTTGATTATATATTATTGGAAGAAATTATGTGTTAGGATAACAGTTAATGACTGATTTTAAATCTGTATAAAAAAGTGATAACAACGAAGGGTTCAATGCAAGAAGCTAGGAGTTATTATTCTTGTATAGTATTGTACTCAATAAATAGTGCTTATGGTAATTCAGAATATATTATCATTTTATTTTACCTTTAAGACTTAACCAATAGTGATTTTAAAAAAGGCTACTGAACATGTTTGACAAACCTTCATATCATTATCTACTAACAAATGGAAATTTTATTTGGATGTTACATACTGAGTAATGAAAGATATAACAGGTAATTATACTTATACTAAACCTATATTTTATTTTTTATCTTTCAACATCTAATGATTTATCCTAATAATATAATTGAAAATAAGCGTTTCAGTTATATTATTATAATAATATTATACACAATATACAATTATATAGTATTAACCTTGAGTTGTACCATTTTTCTAATAAACGGTAAGTATACAATATTGAAAATTTAAAATATTTGAAATTTCTTTAGGTCTCTCGATTGAATACAATCTGGTCCTAAAAAAACATTTTATAGTAAATATTCATACGTTTCATAATTTCGGTCATTATAATACAAAACCATTAAATTCCATGTGCTGTACATGTAAAAAGGACATCACTTCTATCCGACGTGCATTGTGGCGCACGCGATAATCCCAGACTATATTTTTTGCCTTGGCCAGCTGTGTTTGGCGTCCTTTTTATAATGTTCATGGCGCACAAATTATTTATTAATGTGCTAGTATTTAAGATGATTTATGATATATAATATATAAATTAAGATCGTAAATATTGTTTTAATTCATGGGGTCTAGTCAAATCAGTGATCAGTGTGGTTAATGGAAAAACTCATATTATTAAATTAATAATACAATATTAATATTTTTAATAATTCATATAAGCTTCGTTGCCTTTGTATTGACAGAATCGACGAGGTTACTTAAACCTCTTAATGTATTATGAGATGCGGCCTTGGAAGAGTAGGCACCTACTACCTAGGGGCTTAAACTTAAAAGTAATAAACATTTTAAATGCATCCATTCCTTGTTTTCTTCAAATTGAATTTGTTATGTTACGTGTAAAGTTAACTTATTTATATTGTATTATTCAAATCTTCATAAATAGACTACACAATTCATGAATTCAATGTATATGTTAAAATGTATTTCACAGTAACAGTCTTCATTAGTCTTAATACAATTTTAATTAAAGTTAACTCGGCTGCTCAGTATTAGTGATGGCCAGTGTTACTGGTGGAAGTTACTTTTATTAAATTACATTACTAATTCCTTATCAAAATTGCAACTTTTGTTACTTTTTTATATTTGGTCAAGTTGCATTACTTTGAGTTTAAAAAGTAACTCAATTACAATAGAAGTTACTTTTTTTTGAAAATATCATTGGAACTTTATAATCCTGTTGTCAGCACTACAATATGAAATTATTAGCAGATACTCATTTTGCCACATATTAATCTTTATTTTTAACAATGCAGAGAAGAATTCCATTACAAAAATAACACTTTATCATTCAATAGCTATAAGAAAAATATCATAGTGTTTAGGACATTTTACTAATGATTTATGATACCTGTATAATATCTTTTAATATTTATATACATTATTAATAAGTTCTAAAAATGTATCAAACCATAATAAAGTAATGAGTAATTTAGTAAATTACCTACCATCAAATTACTTGGAAAGTAATTTTGTTACAGTAACTTAAGTCAAGTTACTCCCCCACACTGGTGATGACTTAGCATTGCACTCAAAGTTAAATAATAATAACATAGCATTAGCTTGCACCAAGGCTAGTCTGAAAGTTAACTTATATTGACTAGTGCCCAACACACAGTTTCTGTATTTTAAACTGCTTTTTTAAAAATCATATCAATAAATTCAACATACAATATATTTTTATTTCATTTCTAGTTATTATATTTTTAAATTGTCGATGAAACCGTTTTAATGTTTATTACTTCATAGTAAATTATCAGTCATTAGGTACTTTTTCAGAATTTAAAAACAATACATTAACTAAGTACAAAAATATTTATTTATAACTTATGGCTTGGTTACAAAAATAATGAGGAATTATGTTTCTGATTTATAGGAAAATTAAATACCTTAGTTAAAGAGCAATACAATTAATAATAAAAAGTTTTATAAAAGTGAACTTCTTACAAATTAGCAGTCAATGAATTCTTAGCTTAGTACCGGTGCTGAACTCTCCAATAATTTTTGGCATGGTAATAGTTTACAGGCGTATTGATATTGGTTCCAACATTTCTAACATGTTTAACCGCATTGCTAGGCATCCTATTCATAAGATTCAGTTCGGTATTCATAGTATTTATATCATTTAGTAATTGTTTGTATTTTTCATAATATGAGCGTTGATGTTCTTTACAAACTGATATATTAACCATTTGTTTTGCATAACGTGATTTGGTGGCCATGACTTCAGCAGATTTGTCTATGATCATGTTTCGAAACTCTTGTTGAGAAATTTTGATAGATTGTTTGGATTCAATCTAAAAGCAAATATCAATTAATAAACCAATTACATGTTCCCCACAAATATATTTTGGTAATATAAATTCTTACCAATAAACATAGTGGCCATTCCACCTTCTCTTTGGGTAATTCATTGTGTAATACTTTCCTAACAAAAGCTGCTATTTTCCTAGCGTTTGCTTTGTCATCTCTTTCAGTTTTTGCTGTTCGTGCATTGGTGTCTTTGATGTTTGAGCTCTCACCACTTTTATTGAGTGAATGCTTCCTTCCATCAAAAGAGGATGGAAAACTTCTGCCATTGCCTTTGATTCGTTTGGAATCCTTAGGGCTATTTCTTAACTTCTCAATAATGCTGAACTGAGTGTCTAGATCACTCATCATAATTTCATCATTGTTTTTCTTGGTTGGAGTAAACGCATTCAATTTTTTCTCCACCTGTTGGTTTTTTGCTCCTCCGGCCGGACTATTAAACTTGTCATCGTGTTTCATGACTAAAATTGTAATTTTAAAATATTTAATAACAAATATAATCTTCTAATAATTAACAAATTATAATATAATATATTTCCAAACTGCTATGTAGTGTGTTACTTCTAAAACACAATTTGTGTTCTAATTATTACCTTTAGGTACTAATAAAAAGTACAACTAATAAACTGCCAAATATTTTAAAATAAACCTAATTTTAATTTGCTACAATCATACTATATAACTTTACCATATAAGTAATAATTAATATAAACACTAAGGTGTATAAGGAACAATACTCTGATCACAGATAAATAAATTAATAAAACAACTTGTTAATTTAAAACCAGATGTTGCACTTCCGCTCAACCCATGGAATTCTCCGAAAATCAAAATGCATGGACTAAAATCATAGACCTAATAACCAGGTTAGGTTAATAGGTCTATGACTAAAATATTATATCTTATATGGACATATGGTCCATGCACAGACATCATTCTATATAGTGTAATACGTCTAGTTAGCCAACTTTACTCTTGCTATCAGTTGAAGCCACGATTAAAGATTATATATACTTTAATATATCTTTAATCGTGGTTGAAGCCTGTCAGTAAGTTGGCATCTCATGTTATTGTACATGGTAAATATTAATTATGTTTTATTATTTATTCTAAACCTGTTGTTTAAAAATAAAATTTTTTTATTTTATTTTATCATAAAAAACGATGTTATTTAAATTTTTTTTGTACATATTTTTGTATAACCATGATATAAGCAGCGTGGTATGATCGTGAAATTCCAGACTTGGTTCAGGTTCGCGCATACGTCACTTGCTTATCCTTATTATCATATCGTCGTTCGATTATTACTATTACACATTACGCTACGTCATATGCTGACCATAGGATCTGACAGTCAAAAAGTTACGACCATACCTTGTTGTTTTTATCTTGTGTATAATTGTGGTATAATGAATGTAAAATTTTTGGCCTTTGTCATTTTGCCAATATTGAAGGCGGGCAGGCCCACAGCACGGACTTAGATATCTTAGTCCGTGGCCCACATATAATAAAGAGATGGAGGCTATTATCATGCGGTCCTGTGTTATTATCAGTTTTGAGGTTATATGGGGTAAATATTTTTCGCGCTCAAACTAATGGCGTTTGAATTGCACTATTGAATATTGATACAAACCACAGACTAATTTTTATAACCATATATTTTATGTAAGGTGAGACCAGTCGTCCCGTTTAAAAAAAGGGACTGTCCCTTTTTTGGTCATCATGTCCCGTTGTCCCGACAAACTTCGAACGGGACGCTTTTTATCTCATTTTTAGAAGATGGTTTCGTTTGAATCATCGACGTAACTAGGGGGGGGGGGTAGCCCCTCAATTTGTGTATTTAGGTTAGGTTAGGTATACTATATATTGTACTTATTTTATTATTTACATTCTGTTTTTTTAATGACGAGTTAATACTTTCATTTTATTGTTTATTTTTAATATTGATTTTAGAGGACAGTTACGCTTACTGTGGGGAGGGGGGGGAAAGTTATATTGAACATTAGTTTTCTAGGACTCTAGCCTCTGTAACTATTATATCCTAGTTACGCCTATGGTTTTAATCATGTTATTTTCGTATTATTATATTATATTTGTGAAAAAATTTGGCTGTATGAAATTAATACAAAACAGATTTACTCATAGGTATACTGGTATACATATTTAAAATTACAAATCAAATTTTATAATAACGGATACACTTTTCGTGGAACGAACGTCGAGTCTCAATGTCGACGAACAGTAAAATTAGCGATAAGCAAGAGACATATTATATGACGTAAATGCATAATATGTCGTTCTACGAGCTTAAATATATGTAATATAATATTATTTATAATTTTGCAGTCAATGATATTAGATATTAAAATTATATTGATTCGATTGTTATTATTATTATATTATTCTATTTTTTCCATTATCGTTTTTATAGTGTCCGTGTTCTTTCGTCTTTAAAAGGAGTTTCGTATTTATCGGTATTCGGTAATAGTTTTTGGTTTGCACTGTTCACTGTTGACAGTCGATCAGTGAATTCCTTTACGTTAAATCGTTTTGTATTTTGAAATTGACTCGAACCTATCGATATTTTTCCTAACTTTTAAAAATAATATTTAAGATGCCCAAGAGAAAAAAATAATCCTAAACATTTAAACACTTTTATTATTTAGGTTATTTACTCAAAAATGATAAAGTTATAAGAAAATAATTGCTTGGGATAACACTTAGATTTGTATTTTTACTCTATACAGTTGTGTGCATAAGTGTGAACGTATATTGAACTTATATGGAAGGGTTTTTCTTGGGAGGGGGGGGGCAGAGTAACAAATGTCCCGTTTTTTATTTTCATTTTTTATTTTTTTTATTTTATGGTCATCCTATCTTAGTCTATGATGAAAACAAAATATTGTAGTCAGACTTGGATAAAATAATTTTAAAAAGTATTTGGAATAAGTACTTGAATGCTTATGAAAAATAGTATTAGGAATAACTATGTATTCCAATACTTTTAAAATAAGTTTTTGTCTTAAGTATTAAACCAATGATACTCTTCTTTGAGAAAATTTGAAACTAACTTCAACATATTTAATTTAATAACTCTGAATATAATGTATTTTATGTTGTTGATACTTTAAACCAACATTAAAAGGATAACAAAGACAAAAATTACCTTAATGGAACAGCTTTGGGATTTACAATTTTTTGACTATTGCTAAAGATGTAACTATTTTTTGAAAAATGTTTGCATACTCTATGATATTTAGAAATCGGTATTTTAAGATTAAGTGTATGAATCCACAATTGCTTTTTAGTTATGTTTTTAGGAAATCGTAGAAAAATAAAATTATATGCGAGTAAAAAACCTTATGCATTTAATCCCGAGATGTTTATCTAGGCTAAGAAAATATAGGGTAATTTATTGGGTTATTTAATTATTACATTTCTTACAGATGGAAAGAAATATCTTCATTGTTGTTTTTAGAATATAAGACAAACAACTCATGAATGGACTATAATAAATTATCAAGATATTTTTATTGAAGTTATTATAGTAGACAATACTACAATAGTAATAATAATATATATATATTATAATAGAATTATAGAATTAATCAGAATTTAAAACACAAAAGTCAAAGGTGAGAGGTTAATTATGTATAAAATTGATCTTTCAGATGACGGTGATATATGATTCTGGACCATTGGTAGGTCTTGGCTAGTGTAATAACGCAAAAATAGAATAAAAGAATATAATAAGATGAGAAAATCACCGTAAATGTTAGTACGACGCCTGCCGACACTGATATTTAAGATGATCTAAATTTACGTTAATACCTTCCTCCTGATCGTCGGAGGGTTCTCGAGGTCGCGCGTGTTCTCGAGAATTTGATGAAATACACTTCTATGATGTAAATGTAAATGCATGCACATATAATTTAATATAGTGTAGTCAACAATACTGTATTTTATATTTTAATATGTTTTACCTGACTCGCAGTTGTCACTGGGTTGGCAGTAGGAGTTTTAGGTGACACAAAATTAGTTATTCAAGATACTCGAAAAAATAAAGTAACACACTGATTATGCTCGTAAAAAAAAAGAGTCCAGTTGTCGCTCGTAGAATTCGGTATGCAGAGGTGTTGTCAATCTGTTTTCGCGGTGCGCCTGCACTCGTGAGAGATTGTGTGATTGAGGAGAGGTGCTCATGCACTGACGAAGGGACGATCCGGTTGTGCCGGCCAGAGAGTGATAGGCGGCTTCATCAAAAGGTTGTTTTGTACATCCGATTTCTCTTCTGTGACAAGGGCCTTTTTTACCATACCTTTTCTCCGGCGGCATGTAAGAAAGCCACACGTCCTACGCTCTACAGTTGCAAACATAGGTACGTGTCGATTTCTTAATCCCTGATCGTATAATATAATTAGACAATTTTGTCTTTTATCTTTCCGATTTCTACGTGTGACAGTCTGGCCGTTATGGCGTTATTTATTTATTTGTTATATCTTAAATAATTGTTACAATGATGTGTGAGCATATCATTACACTAGTTTTAGGGTGGCTCAACCTAGAAGTGTGGTGGATATCTTCTGTCATTTTCAATACAATTTGCTAAAATATATAATAAGAAAACGCTGATATCTATAATTGTCCGGAGCAATAGATATTAGACACGATAATACTAAACTCGGGCGATTGCGCGATTGTAATCTCTCAACTGAACTTGATCACTGTTGTTTTTGAAATATAAAAATACTATGTATTTAAGAAATTATTATAATGAGCATCAAATTTTAAACTGAAACTTATGGGGCAACGGGTACAGTATCGTTACAGGCAATACAATTTATTTTCGCGCTTTTAAAGTACACAGCCTTAGACTAGGTATGTTACACGTAACACGTCACTGGATATAATAATTGTGGCCGTTGAATTTTGATTCTGTATTAACTGTGTATACATTTTTGGGTAGATATGCTAGTCAAAATAATTAATTATTATCTACCCTAGATAACTAGACCTTTTTACAGATCAAAAATCGCTTAAGCTTGTTAGTTAGTTTAGAAATGTAATTTATCTCAAAAATCTGGAAAAAACTAGTGAAATTGGACTTTTATTATTTTATTTCATACATTTTTATTCCGAATAAGTAATTTTTATATTAATAAATTAAAAAAAGTTAACAATTTATTGGGTGTAAAAATCAGAATAGACTACTGCAGCAGCTGGCATATACTGAAATATAATTTTATGTTTATTTACATTTTTTAACTTTTTTTAAATTAACTGACCTCGACCCTGATCTTCTTTCCAATTTTTTTTGTTCTATACTACCATATTAATACAGAATATATTAAATATAGGGTTTAATATTGGTACTAATGATTGATTTTTTTCCTGCTTTTCTCTCCATTTGTTTATGATTTACACAAATTCTTTTATTTTGTAGGGTTAAACTCGGGGACGGAAACCGGTTTTAGCAAAATGGGTTAAAAATCGGTTTTGATGATTTATTTTAACCGTAATCAAAGCGAGAGCAATAAGACAAGAGAGTGGTTTTTAAGCCCTAGGGCCTAGATTAAAACTCATGATGATTTGAACGGTGACCAAAACCGAAACCGTTTTTTTTGATTAGTGATTAACCTGTTTTTTTAAATTAAACGATTAATGATACTTTTTTTTATTAGCTTTTAGTTTTACTATTACAGCTCAACAATTAGTGATACTTATATTATAATTTCAAAAATATCCGAGCATAAAACGAGAGTCGATATTCCGTGAATATAACGGTTAGACTATACAATTCTCAGTAGATATAATAAATATAAATTGAATTCCACTTATATTTTGTTATGTACATACTATTAGGTAAATATTATATTTTATATATAAACCTAGTATTTAATATATTATCATATATATTTTTTCGTGTTTTGTGAACATAGTCTGTTATGCACTTATGCAGTTATTAGCCATTTAATTAAGATTTTGAATTTTCCAGGATATTTAATACCTGCTTAATTAATATAGAGATTAGTTTGATTAAATTTGTAAATACTGGTTACTTATGAATTCTTAGTTATTAGGTAGTTATTCTGATCTTAAATAATATAATATATAGTGTCCGACATCGTACAGTCGTAATAACTTGTTATTGGAAAAAATATACTTACAAATTATTAATAGACCGTATATAGTCTTTTATTATTTCGTTTAAATGTATTATGATTTGTGATTCCGTATTTTCGTGATGTGAATTTGAACTCCATGTGAGTGTACTGTCTATTCGCGTTAAGCTGTTATTCGAATGTTCTAATCGTTATAGATTAGTAAATAATAAGTTTAAGGCTATTTATGTTTGTAGCTAATAGGTTTTTTCTTGATATTTTAAATTCTTTTTATCTAGGAAAAAAGTTATAGGTGTAATAGTTATATTTTATAGTTAAATGTTAATGTTATAGTTATAAGTGTATAGTCGTTAGTCAAGTATGAACTCAATTGAAAAGGTATTGTATTAAAAATACTTAATTTTTTTTTAAACCTGTATATGAGTGGTTAACCAAAGACCAAAACCATAGTAATAGAAAACCGGGTTTAAAAACCGACATCAAAACCTATGACTTTTATTTTGGTTATTAACACCTCCCCGGTTTTAAAAAAACCTTAAGTATACAAACTGGTTTTAAAAACCAAAACCGCCAAATTTTTTTTGGGTTCCCGTCCCTGATTAAAGTGGTAGGTACAAAATGTCAAGGTCAAGGGTGTAGTGTGAAATATATTTTAATTTTAGCGTTCCATGCAATGTTTTCTCAAAATATGAATTGCCTTTGTTAACAGGTATCAAAAATATCCATAGCATGTATAATAAATAATAATAATACCTATAATATATTAACTTTAATTGAATAAGTACAAAAAATAGTTTGATAAGATCACCGCCACTAAAACAAACAACTGTCCGGTGACCAACATGAACAAGCTAGGGCCGTTTCGCATCAGTTGGTAACGTAGTTTGTTAGCACGCTTGTAGTATAAATTGAAAATTCCATGAAACAAGATAATACTAATATTATCTCAGTTCATGATAAATATTTATGATCTAGAATGCGGGATGTTGAACGCAAGTTGGGACTTTGCGAGGCTCATCGCCAATTTTTTTTAGTAAAAAAAAAATATACTTCTACAAAAAATACTTACTGAAAAATATAAAATTATAAATTTTCGAAAAAAAAAATTACTCTTAACGGGGAGAAATTATTTCAATCAAGCTTCTATGCCTCTGCAGCGCACCACTGTACCGTTTGAAGAATTAGTTAAAGGGGACGCCTTGTAAGCGCAATCAGAGGTAGGGGTACTGAGTTCCCTACGTCGCCCCACATTAACACCTGATCCTTTTACCAGCGATCGGTGTGCATTGCAATTGTATTGCATAGGTTTTTGGTACATAATATAATAAAACAATAATAATTGTGTAGTGTGGGCGTTAAATCGTTTGGCTGCGCTGTGCGTATGAGACCTGCCGAAGAACAACGTCGCCGCCGTCGCCACCTGCCACCACATAGAGCCGAGGGAAAACCACCCCCCCCGGGGGCGCGCGCGTCCGGCACGTCGGCCGAGTGCCGACGACAAACGCGGCGTACACTTTCGCACACGACCGCAGTCTGCCGCCAAACGCCATCCCGTTGGGCCCGCCGCCGCCGCACGTCCGCAAAATCGTTCGCTTTCGTCGTCGTCGTCGTCGCGCCCGTATCCGCCGTCGTCGCTCTCTCCGTGAGACCATGTGTCGTCCACCCGCGTCCGACCGGTCGCCGTCGCAGCCGTCGTTGTTTTCGCCGTTGCCGCCGGAATGATGACATTAAATGAATAAATAATTAAATTAGTGTGATGGTCGCAGTCTCTTTCTTAACCGTTTCGCGCCATTTCTCCACCGCGCGCCACGAGATTGATTTTGAAAATTGGAAATCATATTAATAAATCCATCTGTGTTTCAACGTATTTCTCCTCCTGTGTCTTAGACGGTTTTTGATTTTCGTTTTTCGCACTCCACGAGTGTAACAATCGCCGCTTGCTGCCCTCGCCGTCATGGAGGCGGACCTCCGGGTTCTCCTAGTCGTTTGGATACTGTCCACCATGGGAGCATCACCTGAACTGGCATCTGAAGGTAAGAAAATATCGTACGAAAATGCACTAGGTAGTGTATATAAGTTAGCTTCTGCAGCAAATAAATCCTACATTTTATGTTTTGGGATCCAAGAGTTAGGACATGAAAAAAACGCAATGAAGTGTCCATATAAAAAATAATAAATAAATAATGCCGTGTGTAATAATATATTATAATAACAGTCCTGTAAAACTTTATAATTTCATACATAGGCATGTACCTCATAGACGACAATATTTTTATTATGTCACTGGATATTTCGATAAATATTCAAAGTTTAAAAAAAACCCAAAATAATTTAAAATATTGAATTGTATTTACATCGAGAATTTATGTACTAATAAATAGATTTTCACTTTCACTCCAATAGTCCAATGTAGTTTTCTCAGAGAAGGACGGTAACAACTTACATCTCATTATTGGCTAGACGAATATTATTTTTATTTCATCGTTATAGTCAGGTACCCGTTATATTTAAATTGTTTTTGAAATATATATTTTATACATTTGACAGTTTTGTAGGTATACGTGTTATTCTTTAACAGTCTAGAATGTCTAAAATATCTAATAATTATTTTCTTAAACTTACAACTAATTCAAAGTTTCTAAAAATCAAAATTACTACAATAATAAATTGTAAAATAATTATAATAAAATTTGAATATCAAGTTATTGTTTTTTAGTATGCTAAGTATATAATGTTGGTAAAACATTTTTTTTACGATAAATTATATTAAGTTTAAAGTAAAATTAAAATCGTTGACATTAAAATGATATAAGTACACTTGCATAATATTATATTTTTGTTAGTAGATGTGCTTAAAAAATACAAATATAATATTAAAATGATTTGTTTCAAAACTTGTTAATAACTTAAAGTATAAAAATGTGTAGGATTTTAGTGTTCCTGTATCGGGCGTCTTAACATTTTAAATGTATGATAAATTATGTTTGAAAAAGAATTGTGTATGTATAGAATTCGATTACTGCAAATATGGACAATCTTCGATTGCTTGCTAGTTTGCTCATCTTTATAAAAGTAATTGAAATCAAATTTAAAAGTATTATTTAAAATTTTTATTTTATAAGCTTACTCCTGAAAAAATAATTGTCTAAAGAACTAAATTTCACCAAGTATGCGCTATTTTTGATTGCCTACATTTCTTTTTAACAATTCAAGACATTATAAATTTTATTTAAAAACATTTTCTTATAAAAATCAGCTTATGTAATATGTACAATTTAAACTATTATTATACTCATATAAATACAATACTATTTTACATTTTTTTAATGTTACTTAATTTGTTTTATTAATTTTTACTAATATATTCTTGATTTTTAACTTATAATTATAGAGCCTGAATTCAAATGCCCTCAAATAGCTTTCCAACGCAATTATGCTTTAAATATTTGAATAATATGAATCAAATAAGCTACTGATAGAAAATAGATGGTTTAACTTTCGGTATTTTTAACAATTTATCTTAACTAAACTAACAACAATACAAAAATCAAATACCAAACATAGGAATTCTCAGTAAATAAACAGTAAAGGTAAACTGGAAATAAATGCGATCGCGATGTATCTCCAACTGAATAATTAGCTGTTAATCGTTCGAGTCTCGAAAGATACCACATACAATAATATCTGGAGATTGATAAAGACGCTATCGCATTCATATACAGAGCCACTGCCATTTTATGAAAAATACCTAAACATTTTTAAAGCAAATATTATTAAAACATTATTTCTTGATGTAATATTTTGAATTTCCTAATTTACATTAAAAGCTCATACATTCTACTAAAATATGCACTATAAATTAATAAAATGTCCTAAAAATACAAAAAATTCAAAATATTAATGTTTCAATTTTGAAGTTTCTGTTAGATGAAACGAATTACGTACTTGAAATGTATTGCTCTAGAGCACCCAAAAAATAATGTACTTTGTATTGAAATTCTGGCCTTACTATAAACGATACACTTTATGTATTAAAAAAATTCAGCTTGATAGATAATTAATAATTTATTTAATGTTAACCATTATTTATTACTTATTAGTAAGTTATTAGCTATTATAGTATATGCTAGTAAATAATATATTTATTTGAATTTATATATCTTTACCGCACGAATATAAACATCTTAAATTTATTATTGAATAAATAATAATTTTTTTTACTACCAAACTAATTAAAAATTAAAATGAAGATCTTAATGCACTATTGTTATTAATTGTTGATTGAAACTAACAGTTTGATTTTAATATTATTTAAGTATAATACAAATATGTTAACTAAATTATTACATCTTTAAACATTACTTCAATGTAGATACTATAAACAAAAATAAATATATTCCTTGTCTCTTAGTGTAAAATAAATTCAAGCTTATATTGTTTTTAGTGTTATGGTTACTGACTTAGTGACTTCTGAGGGTTTGTTGTTTCTGCATCATGATGACAATATTGCATATTTGAGCTACGTAGTAGAATTAAGGCTGCCTAATTCGTATATTATAATAATTTTAGTTAATTGGTTACGTTGTAAACTCAATGGTCAATACTCATATAAAATAGAAATATTATAACATCGTAATATCGTATACTCTAAATTAAGAATCATAATTAATGAAATAAAAAAGTTAGCTAATTTAATGGATATATTTCTATGATTTTATTCAATACAGGTAAAGACTAAAGTTAAGTGGTACAAAAGTTATACTTAGATATTTAAGAATTATGATGTAAAACTTCAAATATTTATAAGTAATCATTCAATAATTGCATTTCCAAAATATGAATACTCAGATTTCTTATTTATATTTATTTTATAAGAATAACACTCAGAATCGTAGTCATTGGGAATTGCTACAATTGTTATAATGTTTTTTAAATTTTAATGTCGATGACATTTATTTTTAATTTTTTAAAGTAAAACACATGAGTTGGGTAAGGTATATGGTATATTAGGTATACGTAAATTAAATAATAATGATACATTTATAATACCTAACATTAATTTAATCTGTCCAGTATTCTGATTCTTTGAGAAATGCGAATATATTGATTATTAGAAGTTGTGGCCAGATGAGGGTTTATTTCCTTAGATATTTTGTTTTTATCCATTGCCGGTGCATATTGTATGGCACCTTTGTGTCACATTTCCGGGCAATGTGTTTAACAGAATAAATATGTCTTTTAACTGTCGTTTATGCTTCAGATTTGTACGAGTTTTAAAGTTTTGCTTTTATATTTTTTGTGATACTGATCATTTTACTTTTGATATTCTTGTTTTAAATATATGGTTTAATTTTTTAAAATTATATCTAAAAGTTCTTTGTTGGATATATTACAATCCGAGTAAATTGAGAACAATTCAAAATATATTTTATTATTTTCGAATATATGTTATAGTGTTCAAAGGTGATAGCATTTACTGTTAAATTTTTTACCATTGAATATTTGCATTGTCAGTTCTGAATAGGCATGTATGTTTTCTAAGAATCTATTTAACAATGTTGATGCAATTTACTTTTGTATTTTGACAGTTTCTAGATTTAGAGTTTCAAGTGTTTTGGTAGAATTAAAAGCTGATGTAGGTGCAATGAAGGAGTATAAAGGGGTGATTGGATAAACATATCTTATATAGTTGGTTTCATCATAGCTATACCTAGTTCATTAGGACGGACGCAGGAAGTCACCTTAGAATCTTAGATCTTCGTGTTTGATAAAAACTTGGCTATTGAAACTTAAAATAGATATGCGAGAATATTCTTCAATACATTTGTAGTGTTGAATCACATAGTAGTTTATTTAGTTTGTTGAATTTGTTTTCTTTGACTTCGGGAGATATATTTGAATATAGGTACATACGATAATACATGATTCTTTTGTTAGGATTATATAATTTGCGTAATTTAAATACGTGCCCTTGTATTGAAATAATTAGATTGTTATTTAATGAACTATTTACTAATAACTCGTTCGATAAAAAAATGAATATTAGATTTTTAGATAATATTTATCCAAATATTTAGATAGTAATTAGTAGTAACTAGTGGTTTTACAATTTTGCTCATAGCAATAATATAATCTTTATGAGGTAAATTGTAATTTATATTATAGGTCAATATAGATTGATTTTTTTTTTGTAATTAACTATTTGTAATAGTTGATGCAAAAGATTTTTCGTTTTGGTCGAGGAATGAGGAGTTTCCCGAGGTTTATCGATGAAGACATTTTTGGTATACACTTACTCGATATGATAAAATATTATTCGTGAATATTTGATTTTAAGTAGTAGATTCATTTTAGGAGATTTTAAATTTTGTTTTAGATTTTTTACTGTGTAATGATTGAATTGGTTTTATGAATTAATGAACTTTGAGAAAGAGATGCGTTGTGTTCATTTTCGCGAATACAGTTTGCACCTACTTTAGTGGTATGTTCATTTACGTATTATGTTGGTGTTTTTGTGGTTTAACAAATATAAGCATATTAATATATTACCCATGTGTAATGATATAGACACAATAATATAGCTTACTTCTATCGGAAGCTAATTATTAAAGACGGCGCTCACAATAATATATGTAGATTTCTTGTCTGTGTGGTGTTCGATCGCGAAATGGTGAGATACTGGGACTTATTATTCAAAAAATATGTAAACATGTATATAGTTCTTATAATATATTTATGATTTTAACCTAATAAAATTACTTATCTTTTAGAACCTAGTAAGTACTGTGATTTGTAATCAGCGGAATGTGTGGTGTTAATATAATAAATCAATAGTCAGTAGACAATATAACTAATATACCTAATATAATATAATATAATACGATTTTAAGATAATAATATTAATTTGGTAAAAAGATGACACTTGACTACATAATAACAGCTGACAATTAATTTAGGTTTTATTTCCGACTATTAGTTTATACATTTTGTATTTAAAAAAAATCTTAATTGATTTTGTAAAAAACTAGTTTTG